AATATATATATGTCTTCCTGGATTCGGTCGAGTTATTATACGTCATCAGACGAAGTGGACTAGCAAACGAAAAACGATGCTTTATTGACAAAGTTACGCCCGGGGACCAGCCTTCGTCAGGGCATACATTATGGCATCCATGTGTATGCCATGATGTTGTTGTTGTTAGTGGTTCATGAGGAAAAGGAAGAAGGCACCTAATTTCTGTCTGCCTACAGGCGACACGGCGCAGTGCCTCCATGATGTACGCCCTGACGAAGGCGCCATGATCTTAAATCAGAGAGGGAGAGAGAGAAAAGAGAATATAAGGTGGACTCCCCCAGGACACCCCTTTCACTCTTCCTCCCCCTCCCTCTCTCTCGCTTTTCACCTTTAGGATGTCTGCGGTCTGTGTATCCTTCCTTTCACTAACACATTGTTCCCGACCAGACGGCACCGCCTGGCTAAGGCCGTTGAGTGTGGGGCAAAAAGAGCTTTTGTAAGAAGTTTAAGCCTTTAACTACTCATGGGCCTCGTCGACATCTCGTCGTTGAAAGAGGGGCGCCGCGTATTGCCGCACAGGCTGGCAAGAAGGTGCAATGTCAATTCTAAGTAGTAGTTAGGCGATCTTTACAGTGCAAGCGGGGCGAAAGCTTCCCCTGATTCAAGTTGCCCACATGGATTCTGTGAGAACACAAAGACTCGTTTTCAGAAAGTGCTTATAGAATTCTTCAAGGCATGCTTAAAGTAAGTATTATGTGTATTCTGAAATAAAAGTTTACATTTTCTGGCCGAATCATCTCTGCTTTTTGCTAAAGACTAATGTAACAATCTATTTTAGATAAATCTGTTTGTTAGCAATCTGTCGCTATACCCGCTCTACAAACGTGTACGTAGATATTGATTACTTCCTTCCTCCGTCGAATCTGTCGTGCATTTCATAAGCCGTTTTATTGTGTTACAAACAGCGCTCTTCGGGACGGCTTTAAGCTCTCCTATAGTAGAGTACTCTGTACTCTAAATCATTACCCACTTTTTCTAAACACACTTAAGTGTGAGGCCCCCACGATGGCCTAGTGCTCTCCCATAGTAGAGCACCTACTACGCCAAGACATTCACCAGTTTTTTTTTTTTCTAAACACGTGATCGTCATGTATTCTATGGCTGTATTGGACGGAATGGCTTTCGACTGCGTTCTATCATCCTTCAAGCTGCGCGTTTGGTGTATTTATGGGCCAGCTCAAGCAGCCATGTTTAACAATTTTTTCTGTGACTTGGACGTGTACTTTGTAGTTTTGCAACACGTATAATCTGACTGTGTTCCGTAAGTTGCAGTGACGCCAGCAACCATAGAGATTTAACCTTATATCTAGAAATTTTTTACCTCATTTAGAGATCTCGCGTCTTTTTTGTTGAATCTAGGGAATTTCATAAGGCTGTGGAAATGTCACATTTCACGGACTGATTAAAGGCAATACTAAGTGACCACTCTCTTTCAACTAGAAAGGCTGTAAAAAATGATAATTTAGGCTATGTCGTTTTTTTTAATTTGAGGTAGCCTTGGGGTTCTTATGAATTATGTGAAGGGGATAGCAGTTTTGTAATGTGAGATTGTTATAGTCTGATATTGCGGAAAATTAAGCTACGTAGTTGTAAGAGTTGAGCACGCGCATATAATGAGCTCCCTGAGTGATTGCTGCACTGCGAAACAAAGGTAAATTTTGTCTTGTATTGAATATAAACACATGTCAAGATTACGCTGACTGCGTGCCTTCACCGAGTGAAGTCTCCATGTGAAATACCTAGGAATATTATAGAAGGACAGAGCTAAATAAGAAACTGAGCGTAAATGTTACGAATAGATTTGGCCAAATTTAGGTGGAGCTGATCGAAAGTGCAGAGGGAAGGCGTAGCTATATCAGCCAGGAATAATTGATACGTGGGGTTTAATTTAACGTCCCAAAACCACCATGTGATCATGACAGACGCCGTATTGGAGGGCTCCGGAATTTTGGACCACCTGGCGTTCTTTAACGTGCACCCACAACCTGAGCACACGGGCCTACAGCATTTTCGCTTCCATCAAAAATACAGCCGGAATTCGATACCGCAGCCTGCGGGTCAGAGGCCGACATGGAGGAAGGACATGACATCCGAGTACCTTAGCTAGACCACCACGGCGGAGCTATCAGCCAGTAATAGGGCGCCCACTTACACACCTTCCTCCTTGTACTTACATCATATGAAAATTGCAGCAGGCATTGCAAATGTGGAAAATTAAGAATAGTACCTCAGCTGTCAAGCTGCAAGTACAAGAAAGGCGCGACAAACATGCGGTTGACCGAATGATCACATATATTCTTCAATGCGTGTGCAAAGCGCAAACAGGTGCCATTTGCAAGCACTTGGCCACAGAGCACACTATCTTAATACTTTTTTAAAACTGAATTAGTCTGAATAATGACATTATAAATATAATCTAAGACTTTTCCTTGCAATCTAGGGATTTTTTGAGGATCAATCTAGCGATAAAATGCCTCCATTGGTTGGTCGTACTCAAAGCAGGTGTTCTGAGCCTGAAAACGCTCGTGTCACCCGCGACAGCAGAGGCGGCCGCGTGCTATATGATCTATGATAGGATCTATGACAATATTCGGGGTAGTTCTGTACTGTTTGAAGCCAGGACGGGAGTATTGCGAACCAAGACTTATCGGGCGAAACACAAAGGGGTATGTTAGAAGTGTGGCAGCTTGGGCTAGTTGGTATGGCATGAGTATGGCATAAGTCATCACATGAAGTGGACTAGCAAACGAAAAACGATGCTTTATTGACAACGTTACGGCCGGGGACCGGCCTTCGTCAGGGCATACATTGTGGCATCCATGTGTATGCCATGATGTATGCCCTGACGAAGGCGTCATGATCTTAAATCAGAGGGGGGGAGAGAGAGAAAGAGGGAAAAAAAGAAGAAAAAAGAGAATATAAGGTGGACTCCCCCGAGCGCCCCTATTCACTCTTCCTCCCCCTTCCTCTCTCTCTCTTTTTACCTTTGGATGTCTGCGGTCTGTGTATCCTTCCTTTCACTAACACATTGTTCCCGAACAGACGGCGCCGCCTGGCTCTGGCGGTTCAGTGTGGGGGAAAAGAACTTGTTTTAAGAAGTTTGAGCCTTTAACTACTCAGCGCCTCGTCGGCATCTCGTCGTTGAAAGAGGGGTGCCGCGTATTGCCGCACAGGCTGGCAAGCGGGTGCAATGTCAATTCTTGCCCGCTTCTGGATTACGCGTGCAGTAGCTAGGTGCCTTCCAATTGTTGACAGGGTTGCTGTTGGGCATGTCATGCTTGGTACAATTGATTGGATAGTAAGGTAAAAACAGGACAGAAACATACGACAGCTGTACTTAGGAAGAGTAGTTGCACTTGGAAATATCTTGAGTTGTCGATTGTCTTTGCAGCTGCAGTGCCGTGAACTCGGATATTACTTTCATTATTGCTGTTATTGTTTTCTAATGCTTTAATTCGTGCAAGTGTACCCGGATTCTCATTTATTCCTCGATCGAGGGGGTTAAATCGGTGGATAAGGTATGACTCTCGTTGTTCACGTTCTCGGTTTGATTTAAATCCCGTCTCTAAGAGTGTTACTGATAGTTTGTCGAATGCATGGTCGGGAAGATTGAGATGTTTTGATAGAGGTAGACTTGGGGCTGATTTCGCATGGGCTCTGTGATTATTGAAGCGAATCCTAAATGTTGTTTCTGTTTGTCCGATGTACTGCATACTGCACACGTTGCATTCGAGTAGGTATACCACGTTAGAGGAAACGCATGTTAGGCTTCTTCATATATTAATCGAAAACTTGGATTGTGTGCTGGTTGCCTTGTGTGTTTCTCGCATCACTTTACATACAAGACATCCTGACTTCAAAGAAGGTGAATATATATATATATATATATATATATATATATATATATATATATATATATATATATATATACATACATACAGAGAGATAGAGAGATTTATTCATTGCTTGATTGATTCAAAGTATATATATAAGGAAAGAAGTGTATACTTAAGGGCTCGTTTTGCTGTGTTTTACACAATAGTAATGAGATCTAACAGACAATAATGCCAAGGAAAGTATAGGGGAAGATATTAGACCGAATTGTAATGTAAATATGAAGAAAAGTGGGTGAAAAGATAACTTGCCGTGGGCAGGATCCTATATATATATATATATATATATATATATATATATATATATATATATATATATATATATATATATATATATATATATATATATATATATTGAAACCCGCTGAATATTAAAATAGACGCCAAGGCAAGAAATCAATGAAAATCAAATGATTGTTTGCCATGATTCTCACAGAGCCGCACACTTAGTCTCAGTATAAGCAAGTATTATGCGTATCGGACTTTTCAACCGATAAATATGTCTAAGACAATGATCAAGCCGCGAGGAATCCTCATTGCCTGCTCATTGACATTTTCAGATTAATAATTAGTGCGACAGAGTGAATTTTGGCAGTATCACCAATTCTGGCCAGTAACACGCGAACAAAAAACGATTAAGCCAACAAACAAAAAACTGATTCATCTACACCTTCGAAGACATGAAAGCGGAGTCGCCTATGCGGTTTGGCTTGAAGCGAGAGGTATCGCCTCAAATGATGACGTGTGGTGGATATATCTACTCGCAACTGAGCTCGTTGAGATGACACGAGCAGAGGCCGCAGGCATACTTGAATATAAATTTTGTGCGTGAAGTGGTTCCCGCGCACTCCTCCTCTCTCATCCCCATCGTGCCCTCCCGCGTTACCCTTCGTGATACGTGTTCACTCCTTTCTCTCCCCAATAAATGATTACATGTAAGCTAGATTAAACTTTTTATACGCCTGATTTATTATGTTTTGAAATTCCCCCATCAGCCTTAATTGAGTTGTAGAAAACAAAATAACACACACTTGCCTAATCCGCCACATTGGCGACACCAACCGATATGCCTTTCTGTTGCACGTCTGCGGTGTGCTTCAGCTGAGACAACCCTTTGTAACCGACCCCCAACAACTGTTATCTGCTTATCGCTGGAAGCGCAGGAGTGTGTGTTATATCTTGCTTTTGTGAAACCTGTTACGGGCTGCTTAAGGATCTGTGCATACTCTGCGAAGCTCTGCGCGACTTGTAACTGAGCACTTTTGTAATATATGTAGACGGTCGCAGTGACAACCAGCGCATCGCTGCCATACATTGGTCGTGAAGATAAACGCAGCGCAAACTGACGACGTCGAATATCCGGAAAACCGCAGCATCGGCTGGTACACTGCCAGCCGTCATGCCAAAAAAGGTGGGTGGCTAAAATTAGCGGAAAACGTCTGAACGCCCCGAACTAACGTTGGCACATCGGGCGCTCGCGGCAGGTAGAGTCGTGGAGTTCTACCAAGGTTATGTTTGTGCCGAATTTTGTTTTGACTCGCAGTTTTGACACCCATGAGTTTTCTCGGCTGCGACAACAACAGCTTCGCTATGAGGGGACTGCACCAGATCCTGGACGAAGTGAAGCCTGAACTGAAACCTCTGCCCGGCGTCGCTCTGCTGGCTAAGTCTCACGGCATCAAAGTACCGCCGAATGATCGCTATTCATACGGGATTGACTGCGATGAAGTCTACCCGGGCATATTCGTCGGTGACGAGTGAGTACGTCTTACGTGGTACAGCCGTCAGCACCTTTAACATGAACACTTCGCTGCATGGCCAGGGCTAGGTTGATTGATGCCAGCCTCGAAGTGCTGGGCGCTTTTGCCAAGATAATACCTCTGTGGGCATGGATAGTATGTCGGCATGTATGGTTAGCATCTTAGCAACAAAACTCAAACGTACGTGGTGTCAGCGTCAATCAAACTGCTGTAGGACACGCGGTGGAGCGTTCGTGTTAAAGGTGCTGACAGCTAGCTGTACCTCCTTGTGTTGACCTGCCGCTGGGCTAACAGAGTTTACGTCGAATCGCTGCAATCTTTATTCGCAGCTTGTCGTTCGCATTGTTGTTGTTTGTATATCAGAACATTGCTTTCAGAAGCGAAAATGGGCGCTCCTCGTTTTCGCCAGTGCACCCTTGTTTCAGGAAGCCTTTCTTTGATGCAGACACGTTACTTTTCTAGCTTTCCCTGTTTTTTTTTTCTTTCTAGCGTGTGTTGAGATCTATTTTTAGTTAACAGCACTGATCAGCTGTATTTTTAGGAGTGTGGAGTAGCCAACTGCTTGTAACTTCATGGGAATGCAGTTAAAACAGTTGATTGATATGAAAATGTGCACATATTTAATTGGCACCATAATGCGACAGTCTTTAACCAACTGTGTCTTGAACATTCCCATCGGGCACCGGTTTTCTGTCCCTAGAAGATTTAGCTTTACCGTGTGTTTGCAGAATGTGGACTGTGTGCAAGAACTCGATATTGTGAACATCAGATACAGAAAAAAACTACTTCATGCCTATAATCATACTTGAAAAGTGCCAATGAAGCCACCTGAACAGATATGTCTGACGTGTAACATCGTGAAACCAATGAAACAAGAGAACCAGCTACATGACGACATAAGAACATCAAGATCAAACACCTGGCACTTTACTTTGCATCTTTTATGAGCACTGTACGCCATAAGCACGCGCAGGATTTCCCATTATGGGGGTGCAAAGCTTCATTGCAGTGCCCCCTTTCACCCCATTGGTCGAAATAGCTGATTGAGTGAGTTGGTGACTCATGATTGCTTGAAATGCGAGTGTATAGGGTAGACAAGGACTAATTCTGTCTTAGTTCTTGTCCATGTTACACGCTTGTATTTCAAGCACCCATTGGTTGAATCCAAAGGACAACATGCCTCACAATACATTAAAAAAAAGAAAAAAACAAATGAGCAGTGGTGTGCTTTTTAGAATGGCGTGCCTTTGGTCTCTGGCTCTCATGAAGTAAAGATGGGAAGTTAACTGTTCTTGAAATGCTACATCAGTGGTCTTCGGCCGCCAGTATTGTCAACAACCTGTGTGGTCATAACTGAGTAAATGAATGGAGCAGGCTTTGCCCCCCTCCCTCCTAGATCCACTCCCTATCTTTCTTGCGTGCACTTCTATGCTGTACATATTATGATTTATTTATTTATTTATTTATTTATTTATTTATTTATTTATTTATTCATCAAATACCCACAGCACCTTCATAGGCATCACAGTGGGAGGGGGGATACATAAAGCACATAATACAAAGCAGAAGTTACATGAGATAACACGGAAACATGAAACATGATCTTATAAATTTTAGTACATCACAACATGGTTATGCTTATTGAATAACATCACGTAGTGCCTGGACAAATGCACCTCTTAGACTTAAGCTAGGAAATGTGTGCTGGTAACTGATTCCAGGCTCTGATGGTATTGGGGAAAAAGGACTTGCTCTACATGGGCTCTACATGGTAGTTTTGCGTGATATTTCTTTTACTTTTAAGTCGTGGTCCACTCTCTTAGACACAGTCAATGAATATTACTTGCAGCTCTTGTTGTTGTAGCTTTGTGGTTACGGTGTTCTGCTATTCAGCTTGAGGTTGCAGGATTGATCTAGCCCCAGTGGCCTCATTTAAAAGGAAATGCAAAAACTATAGTAAGCTTCGATTTCATCACAGTTGGTCAAAATTAATCCAGTTGTTTACTTTGGTGTGCACCATAATCATATTGTGGTCTTGGCATGTGAAACCCAAGAATAAAGTTTTCCAAGGAGGCTGCTTTCCAGTTCAGTAGTAAGTATTCATGGCAGCCTTTCTAGCTGTATTAGTTGGCACTTGAAACAGATGTACTTCGTTTTAGCTGACCAAAAATGTACATTTGCATCATATTGTACATGTGTTGCAATATTTGTGCAAATATTTTGTGAATAGTCCTGCATTGCTGTGGCTAGCAAGGAACTGTATGCTCATGAGAAACAGAGAAACAAAAGAGGGGATAACTAATGCTTCCGAGAGTTCTACATGATTCCAAGCAATTTAGCTGCTTATTACCGCTGCTTGTGACCAACCTTTTATGTTTATGGAATGTGCCTTTGAATACTTAACTGCATTAGTCTCTTTGGAAAAAACAGTCTGTACATTGTCCTACTTGGCAACCACTGTATAGATAATGTGTATATAATTGTTACTGTGTGCTGTCATTGTTTTTGCTCTCGTATGCAGAGGTGCTGCACGCAACAAGCACTACCTGCGTGGTCTAGGTGTGACCCATGTTCTCAACACTGCGGAGGGTTCCCAGTTTGGTCAGGTGGACACAAGCCAGGCATTTTATAACAGCCATGGCATTTCTTACTTGGGCCTACGTCTTGTTGACATGCCACGGGAAGACATCGCAGCACACTTCGACAAATGCGCCAACTTTATTGACGACTGCCTTGAGAACAATGGTAACTTGCCTCCTTTTGAATCAGTTCTCTAACTCTTTTATAGTATTGCAGGGCCTGTAAGTCAATAAGAGCCAAACTGATATTTCACTTCACTTTTTTTTTTAAAACTCCCAGTTTACTCTAGTCAGTTAGCACTCATAAGTTCATCATGCTGTTATGGCGAAGTCAGCTTGAATAATACTAGGCTAGGCAAAGAGGAAGTATGGTAGGGTTTGCTGGCACGTGCTCTCTTGAACAGATCTGTATGGAAGGCATGCTGGAGCTTGGTAGTATCTTGAAGTAGTACCTTGGTAGTACATTTCTATTGATGGTTGAGGGCATTGAACATTTATTCAGTGTTCAGCAAGGTGCACCAAGATTCACACTATTCTGCACCTGAGATATTTCTTTGTGTGTTATGTTGCGAAAAGTTCAAGTACTCTTTAAATAGTCACCCACAATTCCTCTTTTTACTTCATTGTGTTTGTCCTTGGGCGAGCATTTCTTGCTTCAGATCAAAATAATGCGAAATGTTGGAGTGAAGATAATGTGCACTTTATCCTTCTGCTTGCTTGTGGTAGTTCTGTATATGTGTTCCATTTTCGTTTGCCTGCAAATATGTTTTGCCTTTAATCAGCAACATATTTTTTTAATGTCATGTTCTGCATGACAGTACCTTAGTGAAGAGCAGAAAGCAGTGGTAAGAGGTTACTTTTGATGTATTTGTGTGTTTGACAAGTGCATTAAAGCTAGTCTGAAAGAAGGAGCGTTTTAACAAGCATGCTTTGTTAGAATGTTTCACATGTAGTGTGGACATAACTAGCGTGGGAAAGCAGTGCTTGTGTTTGGTGAAACAGAAGTGCTGCAAAATGCTTTGGTAAAAGCCTCGCTGGATGAGTGCTTAACAAGGGGGAAGAATAAGCAAGACAACTGTGGTGTTTGCTCATTCCTTCCACCTGTCCTTTTTGTGTTTTCATGCAGTTTTAAGCTCGCTCAAAAGTGTAAACACTGTAGCTTAGGTGCTACTTCATTATACAGAACTTGAGGCTTGGTTTGATAGTTCTTTATTTTCTTTCGTCATTCAACAGGGAAAGTACTGGTAAACTGCCGCATGGGAATGTCACGGTCTGCAACCATAGCCATCGCCTACTTGATGATCAAGAAAGGAATGACTGTTGATGATGGCTTGCGCACTCTACGCATGAACCGGGCAGTACGACCCAATAATGGTTTTCTTTTGCAACTTGTCCAGCTGGATGTAAAATTGCGCAGCTAAATTAGGCTCTTCAGCATTTTATTGGCATTGCTTCTGTGTTTGATGCTCAGCAGGAAAAATCATCCAGCCTCAGTTCTGGGAGGAATGCTGTGTTGGTTTATATATCAACCAGCTCTCCAACATGTTTGTATGTCCTTTTTGACTGATGTGTGGAATCTTAGACAGCCGAACATGAAGATGGCAGGTTTAGGGGTTGCCCTTTCTCTAAGAAACAGCAGTGGCATAGAAGCTTGAAGGCCTTCCTCGATTCATTACGTGCTGGTGTAAAAAAATGCATGATGGATGTTTTCCGACTTTTTTTTATTAGCTTATTGCATTAAAATTCTATTGCTATGAAGCAATTATAAGCAAGGCATGCTTTCACAGGCTTGGGCAAGATTTGACAGCACTGACTCTTGTTTCTGCATATCTACAAGTTTGCTGACTTATTATGTCAGTGTTTCATGTATAGGCACTTCTTGCAGCATGTTTATTTGTCAGTGTGGTGAAGTGAAATTAATAAAACATATTATTATAATTACAAGGATTATTGTATTTGTGTTAATATCATTTTTTCAGTATAAAATTCACTATATAAGTTGGCCTCATGTGCCAAGTAATCATTGTTTTATGGCATCTTGAAGATGATGCAGTAATGTGTGACTAGAATCTTTTCTTCTTTAGTGAAATAGAACAGGGCCTTATCGGTACGTAAGCAGACTCACTGTGCAGACAATCTATACTGGCAACATGCTTGCTTTGACACTGTGCCTGCATTGCACGGTACTTGCATCTGGTGCCCAAAAACTTCGTTTCGTTTCTACAAATGAAGAAGACCCAAGTCATCTTTTCGTAGTTGTTGGGATTCTTGTGGAACCTGCAAGTTTTTCACTATTTCAAATTGAAAGTGCAGTTGAGCTTCTTGATGTTATAACTTGCTGACTACACCAAGCCTTTCAAAGACATCGTATATGACAGAAGCTGGCTTTATGTACCAGGTAATCTAAACCTGAACACTTTTTGCAAGGAGTCGTTAGCTAGGCTCTTCTTTGTTAAGTGCTTTGTTCTTGTTCTTCAATTTTCGTTGTGACATTTTAGTGAAGAGGTGGAATCACAGATGCACGTCTTACCACAAGACTTCAATTCCACTGTGTTTACCTCAATATTGTTGACTTTTAGCAATCTCTTTACATTTTACAAAATTTTGGCCTTCAGCTTCTGTCCCATGTTTGGTGTCGTATATTAAAAAATGTTTCTTCTAGTCAAGGAAGTTCAGGATTTAACTGTGAATTTCACTGCGCTTTGATCTCATTGTTAGGGTGAAAATTAATTCACTGCAAAATATTATTAGCATGCTGTACATGTATACACAAATTAAATATAATTAAAATGGTGATTTCGAATGATTCATTCACTGAATTCTGTGGCACCTGTCTTTCAGGTATGCAGTTTGGCACCTTATGGGGTGTCTGCATGACAAGATGGAATGCGATGTGTATGTCATGCATGAAATGTTTATGAATAGACGAAAACACTGCATATTTTACACTGATGCTGATATATTATTGCTGTCTTCTGGTGAAGTCTGCACAGACTTGGAAAGCTTTTACGTTTAAGATGTTTTTGTAGTTAAGATATAATACAAACTGTAACAATAGGAGAAAAAGTTAGCTTATTTGCATACAGATTAATTTCTATATTTGGTGAGCCACTTTGCACTCATTAATTTTTTTCTTAGTTTGACCCAGTATACATGAAGTGCAGAAGCAAACTTCACAATGTCTGAGCCTCGTTGGCTAGCTGCCTTGTGGGTCAATTTCTGTGGTAGACCCACTCTGTTGCACAGATCTTGCGCCTTTTGAAATGTGCATGTTTGAAGGTTTTTATGCTCTGGTCTCGGATATAGATGCTCACTTTCCACAGTATGTACAAGCAAGTGTAGTGGGTACTTTATTTTGATAAAGGAAGTAAGCGTGGCCTACAACTTTCAAAACATACAGTTATTTGCACTGAACATAAAGTGATGCCTTCTGCTTCAAGAGTTCAAACACTACTCTGTATTCTGAACTATCACGTGAAATAGCTTGATGAAGACAATGAAGTGGGGTGTGAGTGATAAAAGGGAGAGTATTGCGGTGCGTGAAAAAAAAATAAATATTGATGCACATATGTCCCCATGAATTTTTCAATAGATGCAACAGCAATCTTCCTTCTGTCCTTCACATAGTTGTCAATGCTTTATGTCTGCGCACTCATCACAATATTCTTGCCATCATAGTCAAGTTGCACCACTCATATCGGTACTGTAGTCGCCTATATGCAATATACAACTGTGTCTGGGTAAATCCGTATCTAGTTAGGCTGCAATACATCAAACCGCAAACAAGAAAAACTTCGTTTTTCTCCCAGGAATTATTGTGCAGTGATTTACTGTGATTGTTCTAGCTTTAGTACAGAGTGCTGTTTTTATGGTAAGTTGTGTGCTTATACATCTGTGACATAGAAGTTTATAAAAAAAAAAAAAAAACATGTGCACCCTAATACAGCATCTCTTGTTTTTATTAACAACCCACATAATGAATATATATTGCTTATGGAAATGTTCAAGTTACTTATTGGGAATGTTAAATATTTTTTTTCAGACTTATGCTGGGTGTTTTTCATGTTTATTATTTGTTATAGTTTGCTACATTGTGCTTATATTTGCTTATGCATAAGCAATATAGGTGGTCTCTGAGTGAGGATGCTTTTTGAAATTGCACGGTTGCTGTAAAGAAGGGCAGCCACAATGGAAACTACTTTGCCGTAGTTGCCATATCAATATCTGGCAAAATCTTAGAAGCATTTTCGGTCTGCTGCGTTGTGTTTTTAATGCAACAAATTAGGTGGGCAGCTCTGTCCCGCAAGTCTAGTTTGTCTGCTGTCGGCCATTTGTTTTGACATATTGTTCTGTATGAAATGTTTTTATAGGTTGTTAAGGAAAGTGATTGAGGGTACAAATCTATGGCTTGTGTTCAATATTGCATGAATGGAAGAAAATGGCGGTGCAGTTTTCATTCATCAAAACTGTTCACTTTTGTGTATAAGGTCAGAAGTACATTTATTACATTGCCACTTTTTTAATTTGCCTCTCTTTATGCATTTTAATCAAGCTGCTCTTTTACTTTTTTCTGTTCAGCACTTACAGGTTGTACCTTAAAAAATGTTATGCTTTTATGAAGTGCTAAAAGATTTTATATGCATTTTAGAAATGTTACTCCTTTTTGTAAGATTAAATGCACATTGGCAACAAGTGGTGGTCTTGCAAGCTCCGAAGCATTATTGCCATTTTCCTATTTTCTTGCACTTGTGTCAGAGCCTGTTATTTTTGCTTTACTGTCTTTTCGTAAATAAGAGTATGATTTCTTTGGGGTTTTTTTTTTACTGAATGCCTTGGTCCACAACATATTGCTTGCTGATGTTGCATTGTTATCTACGTGATGGCAACACAAGAAGATAGTACATCTCTGCTTGAGTAACAGATTCAGGGAAATGTTTTTCTCTCAGGATTTCGGCGTCATGTACAAGTCTAATTGACTAGCCCCCGTTTAATTCTGTAGTGACAGAAAACACCTGTCCAGCCAGTGTAATCGTACGAAAATGTACAATGTGATGTTACTGATTGTTGCTGTTGAGCAACCACGAAAATACCATATGGACTTTTTAGGTGGTTGCAAGCTTGTTCATATTATGTTGTAATGTATATGCTGTTTGTTCACTTTTAACTTTTCTTGTGTGTCAGTTGAGTGCAATAATTGGAAACTTGTGATTCTAGGTATTTGTGCCTGGCAGGCTGCTACATGTCTATACATTGTAATGGTGTATGCACGCATACATACTTAGAATTGTCTCTTGCATTCAATTCAAACTGGTGCACTGACCATCATTTGTGTAAAGTGTATTTAAAAGGCAAGTTCTATTTTAAAGTATTGGTGTAACAATGGGAATTGGAGGCTGTCAAGCAAATTTACTGCTCAGTGATCGATCAAGTGCACCATCTAAGACAACGAGCAATGAGGTTGTCTGGATACAACTTATATAGCATTCTTATTTTCAAGGCCGGTACACTACCAACCACTTCCAAGCTTCCTTTCTGCAGGAAGCTGTATCACTGCGCCTGGAATTCGTCGCACACAGCGCCTCTTATGTGATCTGGCATCTCAAAAACACAAGCCTCACCGTAACGACTGCTTTATGAACTGGCAATGATGGAAAGTAGGTCGTGGCACATTGATTTTCCAGAGTCCTGCTAACTGGAGGAAAACGTGAAATAGAAAAAGTGCCTCAGAAGGGTTGGATGACCATTTTCTCCTTACATTAAATTGGGCAGGCTAGAAAAAAAAACACGATAAAAATTTTTAATACTTACCTGTAAGTGTAGTACTTTAGAGCCTACTTTCTTTATAAATCCATAAATTAAGACTGGTTCGTATTGAGTACAGTTACAGTGGTACTTCATGAACGAGATGGTCTGCATCAAGGCATCAGGGTTGTTGGTGACTGGGCTCATGTGAAGCTTCAGGTCTTGATAATCAAGACTGCTGCTTGTGCAGATACATACTTGTGAACAAGACGTACAAATGTTTGATGAGACACTGAAATGTGGATGGTCTATAGCCATGCAGCAGTTCATGTAGCCCCCTCTAGTCTGTGGTATATTTTTCTGAAAGTGGCCCTGGCATTGAGCACAGCTGTGTTGTAAAAAGACCATCCTTTATGTTGACTAACAGCTGCTGGTGTCATGATTCTGGTGAATTAATGCCGACTGAAAGTAGTGATATAACCTTTACAGTGACTATTTTTATTGCAGCTCGAGATGTGCGTGGGATGCAGATGAGTTGCACAGAGTTAGTCTAGTCCATGTAGACAAAACATACTCTAGGTTTCGTACAAAAGCAGTTTTTTTCTACAGTTTGTGCAAAGATAGCTATTGCACATTTTTGCCCATTACTCTAAACAACGCTTGGAAAGCCAGTTAAGCATTTCCATTTTGCAAAGTACAAATGCGTGCTGATTTCATAGTTTTGCATTAAACAAATATAACAAAGTACGCAAAGGTCATTTTCGCTGTTTTTATTGCCAGTGTGCACTATCAGTGTGTGACAGTGCTGCAGCTGTGTAAGTGAACTTCCCTTGCATCTGTGATGTGTACACTGTGAAGAATATAATGGTGTCTTGTTAATTGTTGCCTGATTTGTGTGCACAGATGTAGCTGTAATTACACTTGATGGACTCACTGTCAGTTGGTTGCCCCAAGTTTCTGAATAGCACCACCTGTTTTGTGCTTGTTCATCCTTGATGGCACATTGACCTACTGTCTGCTAGTGCATGATGTGGAGGTACAAAGCAACTTGTTTATGTGTGTACAGTATGCACAGCCCAAAGGAATGTTTAAAATGGTGTACTTCAGTAGAAATAAACTTGCTGCAATGGTTGACAAGGGGAGTACTGTTGTCTCTCCAAACATCTATACAGACTTCCTAACACGAGTTGCCTCACTTTCAATTTATATATATGTGACAGGTAAATCTGGGAAATGCACTTCTGCTTGTCTCTATTACTCTGCTGAAACTACGCAAGTTGTTTGGAATCGACATTCCTTTTCAGAATTGCTTTGCAGCCACATTATCTTTGCTTGCTAATATCATAGTTCATAAATCTCTTCTTTCATTGGTGAATAAAAAAGTGCAAAGGGCCCTTTAAAATGGAGCTTGAACATAATTGAAGCTGCCACTCTTGTGATGTTCCCTCTAAGAAACTGCAAATAAACTATACATATGCACGATTCTTGAGCACAAAGGCACATGTTTCCGTGTGGTCGCTGAATCGTCAAAATGAGAACTCGTCTTAACCACTGTCGTCAATTGTCCATTTTCCCACATTTAGTAGCAGCACAACTACAGTGACCATCATTGGGTTAGCAATGTCTAAGATTTACTTATACTAGCACTCTTTAAGGCACCACATGATTAGCTCATTAACACTATTCAAGCTGTACTTTACAGTTGACCTTTTGCACTTTCTCGGCACCTGCTGTTCAGCAAATGTCATTGTAGGCATGCTGGAAAAGCTTCAGCAGGCAAAAAAAAATAAAAAATATTCGGGCAAGGAGAAGCATTTGAAAACATTTTGCATCTCCAATATTGTTACTCAACCTGTCCAAACTGTGACCTGGAGTGCAACAGGTCCTTTGAAATTCTTTTTAACAGCAGAAATATCCAGTATACTATATTGTCCCAGTACAGCGCAATCACCTTCTTTGTCTTTTATCAGCCAGAGCTCCACTACCTGGTGTCCGCCAAATCCCCTTGTCGTTTATGTCTACCAGTACACGCGCGTCAATATGCAATTCTCAGTCACCCCTTGCTTTGCAGTTTAAGGATGTTAGGGGCATATATACATTAGCCAAAGCAAGGTCAAAATTATAGTTTATAGCTGCATTATTTATAGCTGCAAATTATAGCTGCATTAGTTTCTCAGGGTTGAATATAGGGATGGTAAATAAATTTTTTTATCAATTGAGAAATACCTTTCACTGAATTAGCTTTTGATCCATATTTTCGGAGGGCATCTTTAGTACTACTGAAACACAGTTACCAATTCATGCAAGATCCTGTGCCACTTTTTGAAAGGTGGAATTGATTTTATAAAGCTTTATTGAGGAATAATCTGTAATTTAATGAAAAATAGATATATTTGTTGCTCGTGACCAGTTAAAAGTTAAGCAACATATGTGTAATAAAATGGCACATATCAGCAAAACATTGCAGAACTTAACAATAAAGAAAATAGCATGTGGAAGGCAATGCCCAAGTAAAATCTGCAAAGAAATTTAAATACACGAACAGAGAAATAGACCCTTTACCTGTTACAACGAGGGAGAAATGCCAATTCATTTTTGCAGCATTTCTTACATTGTTGAGCAGCGAATTAAATCTCGTATGTGTTGTTGAAATAATGACAAAGACTGAGAACATCTACACCACTTTCGAAGAGTCCTAAAAACCTTCTGCTATTTAACTATAAGTGCACTAACTGTCCTTATGCCTGCATTTTTTTTCCGTTAATGTTCCCAGTGCTCTTTAGCATTAATGCCTCACCTGCATTATGAGAGGCAGTAATCGATGCCAGGAATTGGCTCGCCAATGTCTATTATATACTTTGCATGTGGCTCTTATTAATTTTTGAGCCACTTCTGTGGAATAGATATAAAATGCACGAACTGTACAGCAAGTAGAAAAATAGGGGGACGTTAAAGCTTTGCCTTAAGGAGTTGAACGCGACAGCGACGTCCTGTTCTTAGTGTATTTTAAACACTAGTGCATGAAACGTTTTCGAATTTGATATGCACCCACTATGTGGCCTCATGGGAATAGGCGCAGTAGCGTGTTTGCCTTTTGTAGTGGGGTACCGGGCTTTAAACGGCGGACCCATTATGATAATGACATATTCTGACACTTGTACCATGCATTATTACTGCAATATTTCATGTTGCATTGTGAAGCATGTACACAGGAAGTGCGTGTTTGTGAAGTGTGAAAGCTACTTTCACTGCATTCCCAAGTACAAGAAGTTCTTTTCAATGTTCCACAACAACGTAAATGTAGCGCAAAAAAAACATAGACAAGAAAGGGTATACCACAATCGCTTCACCATTTTGCTTCACTTTTCACTGTTCTCACAAGCAGAGGCATGGCCGTGTGGTTGAACATCTGCTTGCCACGCAAATTATCCAGGTTCGTCCCCACTCGCACCCAAAAAACCATGGTTCAGTCCCCACTATGCTTCATAATTTTTCATCATTTATTAATTTTTTTGCATCATCTCAATTTTTCGGTCATGCATAAGATTTTTCACTCACAACCAACTATGCCTACACCGAAATTTTTGCGAAACAAGCTCTTTAACGCTATCGCATTAAAATGCACATGGTTGCTTTTTATGAAACGGCACCTACAACAAGGCTACATGTTGCTTTATAAGAGCGCTTGGCTGTATTCACTGTGAGAAAATAGTGTTGCGGCCATTGGTCAGAAGAATGAATAGAAGCAAGACTTGCTGAATTTATACTGGCCATGACTCCCGCAGACTCAAGCTAATCAATTTTATGCTGAAGTGGGCTCATTGTAACTGAAACTAACATTATGTTAATTTCTACTGTACTAGGTTCATCACCACTCAAGTTTACCAATACCACCTAGATTGATTCACTTGCTAGAATCACATCCAGGCATGTCAGTTTGTCTTACAAGAATGCAGTATTCCTTTTTTAAAAAATAAATAAATATTGAAATGCCTTCACATGAAACAAATATGTTGCAGATGATTTACAAATAAAAAAAAAACAATTTTCATCCACGTTATGCAAACAACTAAGTTCTTCAAGTCTTGTGTATAAATTAAGTTTGTTAGAAGTACGACAGCAACATCTTGGTGGTGCTGAAAGTTTTCCAATTAAGAAAAGGGATACAAAATTTATTGTTTTCGTGCTTTTGCAAAGAGTGAGCATATGTGAGTGGCAGGCTAGTGCGGTTTTATCAGAATCTAGAAATATGTCTCTTTAATGGGGTAAAAAGCTTTGCTTTCTAAACAAAAGTGGATGCTGCCAAGCTTGTACAGAAATTACACATTATATAAAGCAGCTTTTCAACTTTTATTCACGTTAGCAGTGCTGAATGTCTGCCTTGCAGGTCTCCTCCTAGGGTTATTGTCGGACATCAAAATTAATGGACTTTCGAAAGTTGTGGTAGGTTCATGAAAATAGGAGATTTGTCTGTGACAGTAAGAGTTCAGATCTACAGTGACACCGGTGACATTGACATTTGTTCTATGAGCGAGCTTGAAACATAGACAAGAAAAAGAACTAATGGAAGCGTCACATGGCCATCCTGATAAATGTAAATAAGAAATACATGAACGTATGCACCAATGGCGTACCAACTCTTTCGCATGTGGGGGGGCTAACCTACCACACTCGTCAGCTGGTGTATATATATATATATATATGATAAAGTATTTACTGTTCAGGAGGGCACCATCAACATAATTGTATTCATATGGAAGAAAGAGAGAGAGACAACCTCTTCGACGTGCCAACATGTATGTGTGGTGCATTACCTCACAACCTTCCGTATGAATACAATTATGTTGATGGCACCCTCCTCAACAGTAAATATTTTATCATTGAATGAAATTTTCAGTGACTAAAAACAGCTCACAAGATATTCATTTTTTAAATGTGAAGCACTCCTTGAGAAACCAAATGTATTTAGAAAATTTCTATCGACTTATTTCAGCTTCCCACTGAGCTCGAGCCCACTGCTTTATTCGTCGCCGCTTTGCAAGCTGGCTCCATTGCTCCAAGTTGCCATAAGCAAGGCTGATCAGAATTATATAAGATTCAAGCAGAAACCTTTCTTGGCACTTTCCGTACAGCAAAACTAAAATATTTAGAAAGATTAGACGCAATCATGTGCTCACAGCAGCTTCGACAGAGCAACGGTGATGGCAATCTTTTTTGATGAAAGAAAATGATTTTCCTGAAGCAGGAAATGCTTTGACGAGTCCATAAAAAGTTTTTTCGTTCCCATCTGTAACTGCATCAGCCAGTCACAGCAGAATAAAAACATGAACAAGTGATGCAATGTATAGGACCCCAGTTCAGCGCTAGCCTGCTTTGCAGTGCTACTGCAAAGGGCGGAAAGCGTCGCAAAGAGCCTTCAAAGAAAATTGTCACTTCTGAAATGTTGTAAAATTATCCCTACATTGTACCTTTGCCTATAATAAAATTGAGTGATTACAGTGGTGAACGAAAATTTTGCCTTAGTTGTTGGTTTCCCCAGTGTGCAGCCGACAGTGGCCACTGTTGAAAGTGGAGGGGCTCAGCCGCCCCAACTTTTCTCAGTGGGGGGACTTGCGACCCCTTGCCCTCCCCCCGACTGATACGCCTATGGTATTCACAGAGAGCAGTAGCACCACCCTCCATTTTGCAAGTTTGATTTCTGAAATGCAAACTCTACTTTTATCATTTTAACCTCCACTTTGCAAGTCGTAATACAAAACCTGCCAAATTGACAGGCCCTCGAGGACACCGACTTTCAGTGCAAACAAAACGTAAACCTGTGCTTCCCCAAGAATTTTGCTTGTTGCCGTGTTGCTTATATGGCCATTCGATGCTTTGCGAGAAACTCCCACCAATGATTTTCTGTCGTAGCGATAAGACAGTTTTCAGCATTTTGCAATTTGGTGCTTTGAATGGGTGCATTTATTTATTTAAGATTTCTTCAGTCATGAAAAAATATCAACATGCCTTGCCTGTGCTGCTGCATATATAGTGTGTAAATAAACAACAGCACAACAAAAAACTGGTCTTTTATACATTCCACCAGCTTCACAATCATGCCATGTTTGACATGCAGTGCAGCACGTGGCTATAGACTGTGAATGGTATGATTAAAGGAGGGAAATAAATAAAAAGTGAACATTGATGAAAATTGTTTTATGAGGCTATGGGGCATCATCAATATTATGACTCTTAGTCGAGTGTCCATAGTGTACCGCTGCAAAAAGAACTTTTGAACAATATACTATAATGTACACAATATGTTTTTATTATGTAAAGTATTCTATACATCAACACTTACAAAAACAAAGATGCAACAAGTGATAATGAAGTGATGTGAATGTATTCATTTTGTTGAAGACAGACATTTACTGACATTAAACAACTCTTAGACATTCCTCAAAAACAGTTTTCTTTGATGACTGGCAGTCTAGCTCAACAAGGGTAAGCAGCTATATTCTGCGTAGAGAATGCAAGTTTCCGTAACAATCTGTACATTCTTTATTCAACCTGCACAAAAGAAATGACATGCACTGCACGTTACACAGAAGCCACCACCTGAACTTGCTAAAATTCAGTGCTGCCATACTACTATGCTTTTTTATTTGCTGCAAGTCATGGTGCATATTGAAATTTAGCCCCTTCAAGGACAACAGGCTTGTTTGCTTCAAAGGAGCAATGAATGCTCCTCTTTGAATGAAATTAGTGAATATGTAAACTTTCACATTAAAGAGTCTATAATTGTTGCCATATTCATGCCTGATGTATGCTAAAATCACCCCCGATTGATTGATTGATTGATTGATATGTGGGGTTTAACGTCCCCAAACCACCATATGATTATGAGAGACGCCGTAGTGGAGGGCTCCGGAAATTTCGACCACCTGGGGTTCTTTAACGTGCACCCAAATCTGAGCACACAGGCCTACAACATTTCCGCCTCCATCGTAAAATCACCCTCGAATTAGCCAACTCAACACACAAAGACCTTAAGGCACTTGGGAGATTGTATGTCCAAGAAAAGGAAAAAACAGCCCGAGAAGGGAAGAGTTTGCAATGAGACAATGTGTAAATGAAAACAGAACCAGGTTGTCTTGCACTTGAGGCATCCCATATAAAGAAAGTGAAAAATGCCATGCCAGGTTTCCTATGAGAAGAAAATGCACTAAGATCACAGGAAACAACCACATTCTGAATAAATGACGCTTTCTTTGCCTAAAGATAGAAAATTCCTGTGTGAGAATAATTTCTTAAATACCATGGCATTACAAGTCGTGCCATAAATATTAGTAATGTAGAACTCTACACACCGAGCATCATGACAGACTAAACAGTAAAAGAACTAATGCCTAGTGTACATTTTATACCTAATATCAAGGTAAACTTTCCAACACGAAGTACCAAAATCCTAGCATTTCATGGTATAAGGATTACAGTAGCCAGATATGTGCTACTTCTTGAAACAAATTTATTAAATGGAATGCAAAAAAGCACCATAAGCCTTTCAGCCACATTCTTTACCTAAATGCAGTACTATTATTTTTTTAATTCATAAAAAAAATGAAGAGAAACTAAACAAAAGTGGGGATGTTGCAAAGCCCTGATCTCAGACTTCACCAGGATCATGATAAAAATACGGGAGAAACTCTTCACATTGCAACTGGAAATTTACAATTTATAAGGCTGCAACAGTCACCTGCAGCAATGAACTGTTGAAAACACCTGTGAGTTGTCTTGAGTCTGAAAATACCATCAAGGTTCAGATGTCCTATGCACCCTTATCCATTTGCTAAAGTTTGCTAACATAAACAGCTTATTACATACCACTGCAATATTCCCTTTAGCAATGTCAGAGCTACAAAAAGTACTAAGGCTCCACAAGCTGACATTGCATCACCTAATCATGGTCCTTGCACCAAAGTGCTCGTCCAGCTAAAGTTAGAATATGTGCAGTTCTTTAACAAACACTCTTAGCATTTTCACCTATTTTATCCTGCTGTTTTCAGATATTGCATGACAAGTCTAGTTATTAATCATATTTCACTCACTGAAGCAGCACAAATTGTCATTTAATCATGGTACTTGCACCAAAGTGCTCGTATAGCTAAAGTTGGTATATGTGCAGTAACAAGCACTCTTAGCACCTTCATCTATTTTATCCTGCTGTTTTCAGATATTGCATGAAAAGTCGAGTTATTAATCATATTTCACTCACTAAAGCAGCCCAAATTGTCACAGGAACAGTGCTTGCTTGTATAATCCAAAACCTCAAGCTTGTTGCTACAGAAGAGGTGTGGGTTCATACGATCGAGTGCCAGCATGTTGCCTCCATTATATTAGAGCACTGCACAGTCAGCTGCAGGTGCTGTCCAGTAATGAATGCCCTACAGACTTCTGCGTTCCAGATTGTGCATAACTCCTAGCAACTGGTATTGGTGGCATTTCCTTCGGCTGTGGTTTTAAAAATGTACTTTTGCACACCTTCTGCAGTGCACTCACTTTGTAATGAATTTCAGACTTAGAACTTCACATGGAGTCTGCTTCATATCTCCACCACCTGAAACGGCATGTTGTATGATTACAGCTTTCTAGAAACAAGACCTATACTGAAAGCTCGATCAATCCAGGCTAAAATGTTGTTCAAGTGACAAATGTGAGTGACATATAAGTGAACAATGCCTATGAAGCACTTGCAGTAGTTCAATATCGCACTGTACATTCTCATAATATTCTCATATTATTAGCAGCACTACTGTGATAAAATTTCGGCACGAATTTCTGAGGTGCAATTTTTACACTAGCAAAAAATAAGTAAATGCATACCTACTTTGAAAAAATTGATAACTATTGTTTCTACAGTCAAACCGTTTTATAAAAGACACTGATATAAGAAATAAATGGGTATAAGAGACACCAGTGTGCCTACAGTAAAATACGGGTTGATAGGAAAACGCATTACATAGTACCCTGCTTATAAGAGACATCTCATATAAAAGACAAGAATCGCTGCCCAGAACATACCTCTTATAAAGGGGTTCAACTGTATATGCAACCGATTGGGGAAGTTACTACATAGCTCTGCTTACTGCTTGATCTAGTGTAATTGGTATGCAATGATAAGGTTAAGCAGCTGGACTCTGGTTGACTGATCATGCGTTGTTCAAAGGTGAAGCATGAAAGTAAATAAACTGAAAACTGAAACCATCCTCAGTCACAGTTTTAGATGTGCTGTCACTGTTTCTTTTACAATATAAAAGTACTAGAGTTCTCATGCAAAAGAGGGGAATGTGACTGCTATTACTGCCCATGTATGTTTCATGGCAGCTGGGGAACTTGCTGCTGCATAATGTGCAGACGACCAGGGCAACACCAAGCTGAGATTTTCCAAGACAGGCTGCAGAAAAACTTTTTATGACAAGTGAAAAAGGTTTCATATGCCTCCTGCAGAGCAATGTGTTGCAAAAAGACAGGGTAGACTGATGACAATATATGCACCCAGGAAAAGTAGCTGCAGCCAACGTACAAATAGTTTTGAAATATTTTTCTGTAAATATACAGACATAAATTTGTGGGTACAGCCCTTCCTCAAGAATATATACCATACATTACCAGACAAAAGTGACATTTAAAACTCGTAAGCAGTAATGGAAGTTTTCCAGTTAAATCATGTCACATACTCGTTAAGATACTACTGTTTTAACATCATTTTGCATTAAGTTAGAGTTGTACCAGATGCTATGGCACCAGAAAACCTTCATGTAGTGCATTTGCTTCACTGTTTTTAACAGCTATTTGTAACTGATAGACATAATGGCATGCCGTTTTCCCCCAAAGGTTAATGGTAAACTTCGGACAAAGTTGCCAAATTTTAAGTATGTGTCACAGTTTATGGCAGTAACTCTACATTTGTATGTGCAGACATGGGAGAGGGGCAGCAAATGGTAAATACATAAGGGCACTGACAGCAGTGTCATATTTTGCTTCTTCTGTTGCAATAAGTAACTGATTACCCAACTATCATGGCAGGAAATTTATTCACTTCAGCTTGAAACAGTTATAATTTAGTGCTGTTTTCACAACCACAGTTTCAGTTTTATGTAGCAACAAAAAATGAGTCTCCAGAGTTGTTTGAAGGTAAATACAGCTAGCAATGCGATCCCACATAACTGACATGCACACACAGTGTAACAATGCATGCTGTGTGCAGTCTTCCTTGTCTAGAAACGAAGAAGAGTACATCACAATTCCTCTGTCCAGGACACTGATGGCAAAAGTTGCCGTTTGTTTACATTAAAACCAAGTTGATGTCAATGTAGTGAGTGCAACGTTTATAGTGCAGTTGTGAAGCACGCAGGTTAAAATATTGATTTCAAATATGTCCTGGTCTGAAGTCACCATCAATATTTTTTAGATGATGCAAGTGTGTTTCCACAGAAATCACTACCGCAATTCATGTCTGCCTCGAAATTCTGTGTCAATACTCCTCCTACATATCTCTAGTTGCTGCATTTAATGATACTGGACACGAAAAAAAAACAATAAAACAAATCTTTTAACAAACAACTAACACCTGAAAGCGGGATGTATGTTAAGGAGAATTGATCAGCTTTTGCCAATTACTAAAGTTAGCTTTCGACAGATGCATAGCCATAGTGATGTTTGAAAAGCAAAATGTCCAAGACTTTGTAATTACTAATATAACAAGAAGCCCACTCGCAAAGCTAACCCTAGCATATAGGACACCCTTCACTAGTTCAATATAGAATAACTGTGTTGTCATGCTTTGTATGGGAAAAGCTCCGGTATGGTAAGATGGAAGACTTCTCGTATGGCGGTTTAAACATGCCGAGAGAACTAAATGCCATGAGGTTCAAAGTTCTGTTTAGCTACACATGCTGCTTAAAAAAAAATATAGAATATTCATCTTCACAATGAATAGTCATACTAATGTGAAGCACTTTTATGCTTAACAATGTTCTCTTTTTAGATTTGAAAGAACTTTCAGAATTTCATATTGAATTACTCCAACTGAACTGTATCACTTGATCAGGTGGACATTACTACAAGAATACAAAAAGCAGAATATATTAACCATAAAAAAATCATTGATTTTTAAAATTACAAGCAGCATAGCGTAACTTTCTGTTTTGGTGGCGAAGTGGTTACAGTGTTCAAATGCTGACCCGAAAGTCGTAAGTTCGATCCCGGCCACGGCGCTTGTATTTCGGTGGAGGCGAAGTGATAGAGGCCTGTGTACTATGTGTTGTCAGTACACGTTGAAGAACACCTGATAGTGAAAATTTCCGGAGCCCCCACTACTGTGTCCCTCATAACATAAAACCCCAAACATAAATTTAATTATATTTTTTGCTGCCAATTTACAAGGCTTCTCAACATGGAACAAATTCTAAGGATGACACGCATCGCAAGAAGGACGCAGTCGCACTTTCAAGGAGATCGAACTGCAATTACATTTACTTCGTGAATGAAATCTTGTTTTTCACATAGAGACACAATATAAACTGAAACCCCAACATAGTTGATCACGCATACGGTAAAAACTATCTCAAAGCTGGCTATATCCAGATATTACTTCAATGAATGTGCCTCATTAATTCATGAACTAGTTTGCAAATTCAAAACATATGCTTCAAATTAATAAATTATTTAGCTAAATGTTTGATTCATCCAATATAATCAAGTTGCCCATTACAAATTGTGATTTCTCACGCATTGTCTGCATCTTCAAGCAATGCAGTTCAGGGATTAGAGTTGTGCTATCTGCTTAAAGGAGTTCTTTTAAAATTATGTGACTTAAAAGAAAAAGGAAAGGTTCTTTTATTTTTTTTTGTGCCATTTCAGATCACTAACAACAGCTTCAGATATTCACAGAATGTGCAAGCAGCTACATTTTAAAAACAGTCGCACCTTTGGAGTTACTTTTTATAGCATAACAATAACCGTCACTTGTTTTGCATGCGTTTCTTTTGTGAAAATTTGGTGCCCAGCCCTTTCCTGTCAAGAAAGCTATGTCACGCTGACATGATACACATGGCATTAAAGCAAGAAAACGCATGCCAGACAGATGAGTAATATTGCAGGGCAAAAAGGTGCCCTGAAGGGTGCAAATGTTTTTTTTTAGTGCAAAAACAACTAAAGTAGCATGCCAGGGGAGCATACTGGCTGAACAAGTATTTTCATTGGCAGCACCACGAGCTTAAATGTTTGCTTGAACACAGAATGTGGGAGTGAACATACACAGAGCAGGTGTTTGTAAAATCCTGATAACTGTAAGTTATCAGATTACACTCAATTTAATTCTAAGATGTTTTGATACTGCAATAAAATTATGGCAATTAAAATGCAGGCAAATGTATTTAAAGTAGTCCACCTAGTACAAACTTGAAGCAAAAAGAAGTACTGAAAGAAAAAGCAAGGTGGTACGCAATATGCATGTTAGGGCCTATAAATGCTCTGCCTTAAGTATAAACATTTTTAAAGTAAGTGAAACAGTTAACAATGACATGATTATGTACAAACCCTTTCTATCCTTGTACAACAACCTATACAAGTAGCAACTATACATATATAATATTTATATATATATATATATATTTGTGTACATAACAAGACTGAAATTGCGTCTATGCAGCTCACATCAACAGGCAAAGAGGGAACTGCAACATGTGATCCCAAGTTCAGAAATATGAAATCATTTAGAACTGACCTTGGGAAAACCTTGAAAGAGTTCAATACCCAAACGCTGACTTGAGACTGCTGTCCAAGAAGTTGCTTATGCAAACAAAGTTCTCATAAATTTCTAACTCGATTCTTAACATCACATCCCGGACACTGAATGCTATCAGTACTAGTGATAACCCAGTGCTATGCACAAATTCAGTGTCATTTCAGGTGGAGTACATGGAGTCCTAAAGGTTAGTAGTAACATCACAGTGGCGCTGCTTTCAGTACCGCTCATACGACAAAATTAACCTTTAGCAAAATACGTTATGTACCACAAAATTACAAGTGGGACATCCAGCGAAATGGTGAATCTAGAATGTGGCCTGCTTTGCTGGTTAATGCAATGAATCCGCACGCCAAACTGATGAATGAACGAATGACCAAAACAAAATGACGGTGCATGTGACACTCTTCACAAACGAAACACGTCGACTGAACATGCCATTGAAGTTATTGGCTAGCACAGATTCTCGTGCCAGTAAAGACTGGCATCTGTAAATTGCTCATCATAGTCGTATAGCCACTGCTGCGCAATGCTATGTGGACATCCCAGAGCTCATACGAGGCACCAGTACATGTGCCAACTACATTTGGTGACTCATGTGGTACAATGGGTGTCATCCTCAATCAGTGGCCGTGTGTCATCACAGCTGACCACAGTGTCTGTGGCTACCACAGGCAGGGCATTCCGGCTAGTCCCCTCTGATAGCACAGACGTCGTTGAGACTTTCCGTCGAGATGTTGCAACTGTGTGAACACCCAAGACAAGGCTGTTATCAGCATGCACTGTGGTGGCGAGCACTTCCTCAGACGATCCAGTCTCATGAGACGTGACTGAAGGTGTGGGAGGTGACGGAGGCCGACGCCGATGGCGCCGCAGGCGTCGTGTGCGACGCTGTGTGCCTCGTGTACACATATTTCCCAGGTCGTTCTGTGTGCTTCCAGGCCCATACACTATCACGCCATCTGATGGGACATGGTACCTGCAACGAAAAGAACAAAATATCACTTCTGTAGAGGAAAATATATTTAGAAGTGTCTGTGGGGTGTTGCACCACAGCTTTAAATATGCATAAGGCATAGGAACAGAATAACACATCTTTCTAACTGAAAAAAAAAAAAAAAAGCAAAATCATGCTCTTTAAGGGGGAATACGGGTTTTAAAAGGCTGAAAATCACGAAAAAATTGACTTTTTGAAGCCGACATTTTTGGAATCTGTAACTATTTTTTCACTTATCTGAGAAGTTTCTAGCTTCTTACGTCATTATTTCTGGTGCAAAATCAATTTATAACACCTTTGCGAGATGAATTCGAGCACAAAATAGGTGCTAAAATTGTGCTTTTCCCCCGCCAAACCATTACCGTTATACACATGCTAGCGTGGCTATCTTGGTCTCGTTTGGAAGGTTGGTTCATCTTCAATTTCCCTTCACTGCTGCCTCGTCGGGCTCATGGGTTTTTAGAAAAAACGCGTCATCAAGAAGTACCAGAACGCAATTTTATTGGCTGCATGGGGCACATGACAAAACTTGGCTCCGTTTGACCAAGTGGCATTTCCGGCGTCTGCTTCACCACTGATACGCACACGGGCATGAGCCATATTGTCATGGTGCTGTCGACTGTGTGCTGCAGTAAAGGAGTTCCACGCCACACAAATTTGTGAAGCGGGTGTGGCGATGGTTCGTTCCCCGTCAACTTCAGAAAGAGCCCCGTTATGGCTCAGGACGAGGATAACGAACTCGCGGCACTTCACGGCGGTTGCCAAGTCACCCGTGTAGGCCTAACTCCCGTACGAGCACGTTGGTTGTCAACAACGTCACTGAAAGTGGCCGTGTTTTGGAGCCTCAATAGTTGCAGGACGACAAGTAAAAAAGCAGAAGTGAAGCTATGAGAGAGAGCAATCTTTGCAACGACAGAACGGAAGCGCAGTCTTATCGCTGAACGCGCTGATGTCGAAGTCCCCCCTCCCTCTCGCCTAATGAAACGACCTTGTTTGTGTGTGAACTGTGTGACAGGTAGTCAGAGTGGAGTTCGCCGCGCGTCGACAAACAACACAAAAACCAATATGTTCACGGTGAACCTGCTCACCGCCCACGCAATGGAGGCTACTGGCAACCGGTAGAGTGCTTTCAACGACGCGTTCGCAATGATGAACATATTGCGCCGGGGTCTCCACTCGAAAATGTGGCAATCAAGAGCAGCCTCGAAATTGATGAGCGAGTGCACGAGTTCGGTCTGCGACATCTACAGCTCAATGTGGGCGAGCCGGAAAACATAGCTTTGTCGTACGACGAATCGCGGATCATGCACGAACGCACATTCGTAGCACATCGGCATCAGTACCGTCACCGAACTGGTAAGTGGCCTTGTCTGCAGACAAGCACACGACAACAACTTGCAGCAGAACTTGATAGAAATGACACGCTTGTGCTAACAATCAGTCTGATTACATACCAGGTGCATATTAACTGACTAAAAGTGTGTGTGCCATGATATTTTTCACTGAAAGCAGCGAAATAAAAGTTCTCACAGTTTTTTCACATTTCATAACAACACAGATTTTGACCACTTTCCTTGTTTGCTTTTTCTGTAAAAACGGACCTAGGACCGCTAGAGCTATACAGTCGAGCCCGCTTATAACGAACCTGAGCGTGACGCGGCATCCGTTCGCTGTATCCTAAAGTTCGAAGTAAATGAGACACAGCTTTTAAAAAAAGTTGAGAGTGAAAACACAAACTTTTTTTGCTCCAAAAAGTCTGTGAAGCACGTGCTTCGAAGAGCAGAAGCGATAAGAGCGGTCTCGAGTTCATTTAAAACGGTAGGGTGCTCGTTCGCCGAGGCCCGTGGCATACGCTGCATGAGGCACTGGCTCCAAAGTTTCGTCGTTCTCGCAATCTGATTCCTCCAAATCGCTCTCGCCAGGTACTTCATTTACAATGCCCCAATTCGTGCATGGTTCAGCAGTGTCGGAATCATCATCGGCCATAATCAAACCATTGCAGCAGATGTCCCATCCGCTCTACCAGGTCAGAGTCGACGACGCGCTGCCACAAATCGCCGCCGCAGTTCGGAAGCTTCAGGCTCGGCATCGGGCTCGACGTTGACTCGACGTTGACGAAGTCGGCCTCGCGAAAACAGTTTCGCACGCATGTAGTCGTCACCGCCGCCCACATATATTCTCCACAGCTGAATACCGGGACGCCCGAAGCGGCAAGTTGGCTGCCAGGAGGTCAACAGCTATGACCAAGCGCTCCACAACGCGGCACCTAACGCACGGATTACGTTCAAGCTAAGCGGTCACACTTTCGACGTTTTGTTGAGCGGCAGGATAAAGCGTGCTAGTCCTCACGTCGGCCATCATGACCACACACGCACACTAAGAGCGAGCAAGACGCGCATATGCGACACACATGCCAGAACGCGTGGAACAGCTCTGGGCCCGTTTCCAGTCAGAAAACGAAACTAATTCGAGCCAGCGTGGCGGGCGTCGCAGAGTGGCAGAGACGGGCGAAGGGGTTGCGATGAAGAGAGGAGAGCAGACTTGTGAGAGAGGGGGGCAAGGAGCTGCGATAAAGAGAGGGGAGGATGCGGCGGGAGGGCGACCTTGAAAACCAAAACACACGGGAAGGAGGCAGGTTGGGTAGCTTGCTTGAACGGTTCGCGAAACTTGCACGTATAAAAACTTCGAAAGAGTGCCTGCGCACGCAGAAGTCAAAGCATGGCCGCCTGAATCAGTGCGCGCGGCGGTGTTCGTAGAATCGGCGGTCGTGGTCAAAAAATCGTTTTGTTGTGCCGGCCGGTTGGCTTGACCTCACGAACTTCGATATTTCACGATTAATTCCGTGCAAATTAACAGCCGTTTTCGCGCTTCTGCACGTGCACAGTAGGCATGCTGAGCCGAGTGCGAAGCGAGCGAGAACATGTCCTAAACACGAAACGAATCGCAAATTATCAGAGTCGGTGGGGTAGCGTACGCGCGTGCACTATACGCAGAATATTGGATACAGTCGGTGGCCGACGATGTTGGCAAATGGTATGGTCACTCCAGCCCGGCGACACCAATGACAATACCAGCGATCAAAAACAGGGTAGATGACCGACAGGTCTTCGAACGATCGGTGGCAGTGGAGGGCTGAGTAACAAAAAGCAGTCGGGGCATGGAGGAAGGAAACAACTTTCCTTCCTCTATGGGTTGGGGAGAGGGGGGCAACTAGAGGGTCGTGGAGGCAGGGTTGGCGTTTAACAATAAGAATGTATGGTGTTGTGCCACAGACATGTTCCTCGTTCGGGAGCAAGTCTCACAAGATCTAGCCCTGTTTCGACGAACTGTCTCCCCCCCCTCCGAGCGCCGCCTTCTGTGCAGGAGAACCGTGCAGTCCGGGGATAACGTCGTTTCCTCCGCCGGACCACTTTGCAGTTCCGGGTATGGCTACGTCTCCTCCTCCGAGCCCGAGAACTGGTCTGAAAGAATGGACGAAAGACGCTATTTAAGGCCGAGCCGGCCCCATGTTAGAAGATTTTGCCCCAGCCGACGTTGTCGTGCTGGCCGGCTCTGTGAAACGACAACCTGCTACAGTAAACGCTACTTTTGTTGCTGTTTTCCAAACGGATTGTCTCCCTGTTTCACCTTCGGGCTAAGGCTTCAGCGAAGTCCGCTCGACGGTTCGCCGCTCTTCGCCACCGCTACCATCGCGACAGAGCAAATTCATAACAGTGGTTGGCAGCTTCGGGATACGATATCCTACGTTTGGCACGCCGGATCAGACCCCTGTCCTCAACGTTTTGCTGCTCTGGGACCCGCTACCCCGATCTCAACGGCTGAAAAGTTGGATCGGATCTCCGAGCACGAGGACGACCGCCGTGATAGCGTTTGGCTACGCTGCGATACGCTACCCCTGCTCTCATCGTTCGGCAAGCTGGGACAAGAGACCCCGGATCTCAACATTGGCAAGTTGGACCGGATCCCTGAAGGCCTGATACTGTTCGACGGCAGCCACGAGTTGGACCATCGTTGGCTACTTTGGTTGGGTGAGTGCCCAACGTTTACTGTTCATTTCGCCAGACCTCTCTAGCACAGGCAGATGTTAGGAGAGCGTTTTGTGTTTTTTTAGTTGTAATTTAAATATTCACCTACTTTAAACCACGAGATTAGTTTTAAAGTGCGGTAAATATCAGTAGTAGAGCATCACGAGGGACGAGATCGCGATGGAGCAGTACCCGGTGCAGGACCTCCTTGAAATTTGTGGAGCCATGGGGATTTCCGCCGGTTCCGCTAAAACAAGGGAAGCGATTCTCGAGGTGATGCGGGCAGAGAATGTGACGGCCGAGGAAGCTGACGAGTTTTGGGAGCTCATTTGTGAGCAAAAGCAGAAGGCCGAGAAAAGCCGCGAAGAGCTCGAAGCTCAAAGGCGCGAACAGCAGAAGGCCGAAGAGCTCGAAGCTCAAAGGCACAAACAGTGGAAGGCCGAGGAGTGCCGAAAAAGGAGAGAGCATGCTCTCAGAATGAAAGAGCTTGATCTTCAAATTCAAGCACTTAAATGGGAGCGAGCTAAACACCAGCTCCACAACTTTCAGACAGGCGGGAACATCGCGCATTTTCTTGATGATTTTGAAGTTGTCTGCTGTAATGTTGGTGTTAGCCGCCACCTTTGGGTGGAGAAGCTCGCCACGCTGTTGCCGCGCAAGATCGCGCATGTTTTGAATTGCTTACCCTTCGAGGAAGCAGGAGACTTCAGTCATGCTAGGTATGCCTTGATAAGATATTTTTTTCTTTCGAGCCCTGCTGACTGGGAAAGTCGGAGCGATAGATACAGCGCTGAAGCGCGCTGTAAAGCGCTAGAAACAGAGGCGCGTCGTAAAGCGCTGGAGGACGACGCGCGCAGTAAAGCGATGGAGGCCCGTCGCGCAGCGCTTCAGGATGAGGAAAGTCGCGAGGCATCTGACGTTGAGGCCCGTCACAAGGTGCAAGACACCGAAGTGCGT